TAAAACTTCAAGTGTATAACGGCTCATATTGTATTTCAATGGCTTCAGGAGGTTCAATTTTTTGGAAGCTTTTTGATAAATTTTGAATATATGCGCTCGCCAAGATAAGTTAGAAGACAAGGTCAAACCACTCCACTTTGTTTCTCTTCACCCAGGTGTATGTATGGGTACCGGCGACGTACTGCTTGGGGTAACTTTGCGATGGACTTGTATCCCGTCCAGGGGGGAGTAGCAATATTTCTAGGCATGCTTCGTGCTAAGAAAATCGGGATAAGCTCCGGCCGTTTGGGCCTTCGGCTTAAAGAAAGACTCTGCTTGCATGGTTCACCATAGACGGTTAAAACAATTGGTTGCTCCCCCACCCCCAACTATAGAAAGGGTTCCAGGAAGATCGCTGGGGTACAGAGGGTATCTATGTCGAAAGCGAGATGATTGGAGTTACCGGTGCTTTAGAGGCAGGTACAAAAGTCGGACCGGATCAACTCGGACCGCCAGTCCGGGTCGGATCAACTCGGATCGACTCGGACCAACTCGGATCGAATAAAAAAATAAAAATAAAATAAAATTGGACTCGGATCAACTTGGATAATAAAAAAAAACAACTCGGATTATAAAAAGAAAAATAAAATCAGTCGGTATCACTTAACTTTCACCCGCCATTTTGTTTTTTTTCTCAAGAACTCGTGGTTGCATAAATTAATTTTATTTTTATTTTTATTAATTTCAATGATACACTAGTGAGCAGCACACATACACTTCCAGTGAACATTTTCAACTTGGAAGGAGAAGAAATCATGCTCGCCCGGGACAACGAAAATTTTCGTACCCCAGGCGAGCATTAATTGAACTCACGACCCTCGGAATACTACATGTTTATCGTAAGTTCCAACCACTGAACCGGAGGGTCGCGAGTTCGATTCTTGCCACTAGCATGGAAATTTCCTTTGTCCCGGGCGAGCATGGTTTCTCCTCCTTCCAAGTTGAAAATGTTCACTGGAAATGTATGTGTACTGCTCACTAGTGTATCATTAAAATTAAGTTTCAGAAGTTTTGCAGAAAAAAAAAACAAACAGGAACAAACAAACAAACACTCTTCGGTAACTATCTAAATGCGATCAACAGACCAGGCTTTTGATGCTTTTCTCATAAATAATTCAGTAGTCTAATAAATAAGCAAATATATGAAACTATCATTTCTTTACTGTCGAACCACAACCACGAGTAAACCACGAGTTAATAACATGATCCGAGAGGAACTGGCACTAGTAAAACAAAATGGCGCCTGAAAGCCACGGAGAAAAAAAAGGACGATCTGGCCTTTTTCACCCTCCAAATGGGTTAAACTTTTAGTTTTGCTGATTTAATTTAATTTTTTTTATTGCTCCGAGTTGATCCGAGTCCAATTTTATTTTTTTTTTATTTTTTTATTCGATCCGAGTTGGTCCGAGTCGATCCGAGTTGATCCGACCCGGACTGGCGGTCCGAGTTGATCCGGTCCGACTTTTGTATCTGCCTGTGCTTTAGTCATAAATTCAAACACCGTTGTATGTACAGTCATCATGAAGTTTTCGGGCACCAAACATCCCATCAAACCCACAATAACAAAAAGTTCTTAACATATATTAAACAAATAACAACAGTTGTGACACAGAGGCTTGAAAATGATATTTTTAATAATAGTAAGTGTACATTCCAGTTAAATCATATTGTACATCATCTATACATCATGAGAATAAAATAATCTGCATCGAACCATCTGACAGTACAGAGATATAACTTGGCGATCAGTCTTTATATTTCAAGTTGCTCTGTTCTTTTACTTCATACAAAACCTTGTGGGTACCAGCCCGGCCTATAATTTGTAGGTAACGTTAATTTTTCATTCACACGCAGTGCACAGCCAGGGTGAAACTAAAGCATATCAGTCTTGGGTAATTATGAACACTTTTCGCACAAACCCTCAGTAAGATCCAAAAAGATGTGAAACCTTTGTTGGCAGTAACACAATCATCACTGTAATACCCTGAATAAACAAGCACTTTGTGTCATTATTTTATTACCAGCACTGTTACCTTATTGCCTTTTTTTTAGAAGTTGTCATGCATTAGCACCATAATTACTTGAAAATGCATCACAGCGGCGTTTTTCTTCTTATATTTCAGAATATCACTCACTACAAGAGGTTTTTTACTGATATCAGAGATGCCAGCCTCTGGAGATCTAAAAATCTAGAGACTTTCTTTTTCCTAGTCTTAAATGAATTACAGACCATCAAGTAATAATAATATTGTTTTCATGAATGCAATGACACAGTTATCTTTGTGACTGAAGAAATATTATATGCAGAAATGCTGCCAGAGACATATGACCTTTAAAATTCAAGGGCATTTTTTGACTTTATGGGAAATTAGGCTAAATTTCAAACTGAAGTGCGGAAAGGCTCAAAAGATTCGTGTACCCATATGTATATTATTTTGGAGACTCCAGGATAATCCAGGGGATGTCGGCAGATCTGAGTTTCAGTGACACAAAAACGCTGTATTACAGAGAAAAGTTTAACTTATTTGAGTGTCTGTATTTCACATAACCCACTGAATTTAGTGTTTTATTTAAGTGTGGATTCATTTGCAGCATACTGTACAGCTGTCACATTTGACGACTGGAATTTCTTGTTTTTGAGCTTATAAAAACAATGAAAATTGCAACAGCCACAGCAATAGCTATACAAGTAGCCTACAAATTAATCCACCCCAAGCCAACATCAGAAAGATTAATTTTTTTTTAATATTGTTAAAGAGCTTTGTACACTGAAATTTTCCCCTCTGGTCATAACAAATAATTAATGACATATGTTCTTCAAGATGTATACTTTTTGCTCACAATACTGCAACATCCTAAATTAAAAGATTGACAATAAAATAATTGCAGAACATGCACATGCATTATCACCAATAACCATGTTACACACTGTATGACTAATAAATATATTATAAACCAGTGCTCAAAAAAACTGACTTTCTGGGATCTCAGCTAGTCAGAAATAACAATTAACACTCAGTCTGCATTAGAACCCCATCCATCCACAGTAATCGAGAGAATAAAAACTGAAAACACAGCTTGCTTTAATCCAATTCAGCTTTCCATTCACATTGAAATACTGGTTTCAACCCCATGATTGCAAGTCCAGAGTGAATACATTTGAAAAAATAAGCATGCTAGATGGCTAGGTGTTAAGTAGCCTGCGAAAACAGCCCTCCCTCCTCGCTCTTCACTACTAGGGACGTTTCGCCTAGAGGGACGTTTGTGCCTCAGCGACTGAAAATCCATACTGATGGTGAAAATCAACGTTGACAACGTCACATAATTAATCAGGTAGTCACGGGGTTTTAAATTTAAATTTGTTCAATTTTATGTTTCTCCCGCCAGGTCAAATATGGTAAAGTTTTGTTTTTTTCTGTGAAAGAACTCCAACAAACCTCAAATGTTTCTGCTAAAGAAGAACATATTCCAAAAATATTGACTATTTTTTTGTAGATTCATCCCATTTACATTTGGGCTTGGCAAGTGTTTGTCTTTTGTCTGTCGGTCCTAAACAATGGCTGAAACAATATAACTACAGTACTACCTTGCCCAATCAGATCTCCTGACCAGATTCTGGACAGATTTTACATCATCAGTATGGAATTTTTGTTGTTGAGGCGCTGACGTCTCTCCCGGTAAAACATCCCTGGTGGTGAGGGGGCTAGGTGTTTAGTGGTGAATTGATGGATATGGAACTTTTTCAAAACATTGAAAGGATGAAAATAATACTTTGAAATCATTACAATAATCATTGGTGGCGAAACAGTGGAGGAGAAAGAATAATATTAGATGTTCTTCATCTTTGAGGTTCAAATTATCCCCTTTCTTCATTCATCTAGACTAGTGTGGAAGAAGTCTTTACATACAGCTCTAAGATAAATTTAATGTACTATTTTTTTTATCGCATCTAGGATTAGCATACATTGGCGCTAAGAGTCCAATGAACTGCTTTCCTTTACCCTTCTGTCATCTGGAGTAACCTGCATAAAATCACAAAGGAACAGTAAAAGGTAAATGGAGTACCTTTATTTTGTTCAAATTCTCTAGGTAATGCTAGAAAAGTTCAAATTTATTTTGTTGGAATTTTACTGTTGTGGCCTTAAGTATCCAAGTCATTTTTACTGGGGATCCTCTAAAGGTGTATTTACTTTTGCAAACATATTACCTGAAATATATCCCTGAAAAGGCAACTCTCCCAGCAACAATGCAGTGCTTGTTAATTGTCATTGTATTTTACCATGTTCATACACAAAAAATAGATTTAGAAAATTTCTTAAATTGTCTTTCTTTCACTGTCCTGATCAGATTTTTTGAACAAAACAAAGGAAAAGAAAGAAAAAATATGTAGTACCATATTACTTGTGAATGAGAAAAATTATTCTTATTTGTCATGAAAGGGGGATGTTCTTGCCTGATGAGTGTGGTCATTTTTAACCATACAAATCAATATCGTCGCAATAAAGCAATGAATTACCTCTGAAGTCTAGAACAATATTCCATTTATAGTTCATTCATAGTATGACGTGTATAATGAGTTTGTTTATCGTTTGTCTGACATGATAGTCAATTGCATATTGATCGTAATGTTTCAACTGTGTACTGCATGTCTTCATCAGGCAATAGTGTTGACTTACTGAGTGGAACTATTTGCACCACTCTGGTTGTTAGTGACTGGTATATCATAAACCTCATTCAAGGTTGGTTTACTTCATTTTGAAGCATTGTTGGCATTATTAGAGGAGGAAACTGTTCCCTGTGCGGTTCTAAGTGACTATCACAAGACAGAAGATAATAATGAAACCCTTCACTAGTCTCATAATATTACCACTCTGGAATGAGTGCAAACACTTACTATTAGAGTAAATATAGAAAGTGTATCATTTTAATGTAGTTAATATAAGTAACAATTGCCTGAAGACATTGACCATACCTGCTGGTGCTGTTCTAGCTTTAACTGTATTATGAAGATGTCCAGGACCATATAGATAGTAACACCGTTTTTCAAACGCTTTCACCATTTTTTTCACAACTTCATCAAAAAACACAGTGGAAAGCTTAGAATGGAGGATTGATCGAAACTCAAACTCTATCTGCAGAGGAATGAACCAGACATTTCATTAGACAGGATTCCACCTATACAAAACTGTGTGTATTCATATCAAAATAAATATGTCAAATAACATAGCAATCTTTCTTGAGGATACATGTACCCCCAGTACCTGTGTCACAATAAGTGGTTTACAGACAAGAATTCCAGTAAACAGAAATAGATTAGAGCTGAGGACCGACTAAAATAACAAAGTGTTGCAAACAGAGTGAAAAGTGTTAAAAACTGTATTATTTAAATTCAATCAGTTCACAATGATGGCCCATTTGTAAATTAAAGAGTCTTGCTGCAGAAAGATATAGTCTGAGGGGATTTCATTTTGGTATTGTGCTTACTATTTCTTACTAAAAGAGCCAGTTGTGTCATTTAATATTGAATATTGTAGGTTTTAAGTCATGCGGAACCTCATTGATGGTTCTTTTGCAAGGTACTTGAATATGAACTCTTTTTAAAAACAAAAAATAAGGGGTTAAGGGTTGCATCATCAAAAATACAAAAAAATAATTGAACATTTACTTACATAAAAGTCCAATGTACAAGTGTTTGGGTTTCCTGGATAGCCAGGACTAAACTTCCAAATTGTCTTCATATAGTTAAACATCTCTCCATCTGTGCACTCAGCCTACAGTGAGATCAAGAGCAACAATATTGCTGAGCAAGTAATATCTCCAAGAAAGTAACCACTTCATTTATAAACACTGAGGGTCAGTTATTTAAACAAAGTCTAACTTAGACCGCGGCTTAGGAAATCTTTGAACCTCCAGGTCTCTTCCTTAGTGGGTTACTTTAAGAAGACAAAAAAATTAATGCTTTTCTATTCTACTTTATATGCATTTTATGAAACTGTTCATGATAAATGGTGTTGACATGAAAGAGTACATCAAACTGAAATAGTTAAGAACATGGTCTTGTTAAACACTGGCTAAACTCTGTTTAAATAACTGGCCCTGAAATTTGAATGGTTTTCTTGTATTGGTAGCATTTTTAAGCCATAAAAATCTCTGAGTGAGTTTGTTTTCATAAATCACTGTTACATCTTCTTGGGACACCACACAGTTCCTTCCTATGATTTGGTACTGTGAATGATAAGGACACAGGCCACTGTCATGTCACCAACAGTTCTAAACAAAGCTGCACTCATCCTGTTGCAAACCATTTTACATGTACATGTACATTGTAGAGAAACAGCAATAAAAAACGAAAAGCTAATAAGATCACAAATTTACAAACAGGCATAAACACTGGAAAAAGGATCAAGAAACTGGTCATATTATCACAAAAAATGCAGCAACCATTGCGTTTCAAATTTTTATTCCCTCTAATGAACACATTCATTCTCCCTTGAAAGGAATGTTTTTTTAAAAAAACCTCAAAGCGTAATTAATTAGCACACATCCAGTGTGTACGATGAAAACTCTTCTGTACTGTTGGTGCAGTTAACCCAACATCAGAGGTTAACCAGTCTTATTACAACTCAGCTGTGTTTTGACTGTTAAAGTTGACTGGTACCTTCACTAAGTTTGGTGGAACAAGCGTAACAGATGAGCTGTATTTTTCCACCACAGGTGGGAAACCAACTGCTAACTTTGCTTTTAGATGACCTGGCTTTCTGATCAAAATAACTGAGTCCCTGCACCATGGAACAAAGTGCTTATAATCTTCAACATCAGAAACAACTGCATACATGTCCTCCATTGAATAACTGAAAACATAAAATACATCGGAAAAATGAAAAGCTGGGTTTAAACTGATCTTAGGGTTGCAATGATTTCAAACTAGCTTAGGGTACCTTAATTTTTTTCATTGGCCACTGAAGGAAAAGAAATAATTATGGAGCTGCCACTTTTGCTTTTGCTGGTTTTAAAAACTGGGAAAAAATTCCCTCTAAATTACAAAAACTTTCTTATAATAGCTTCTACAAGCAATACAAACTGTACCTAATAACTACCCAATGAGTAATTTGATTTCTCTGCCCTCGCTATCAATTCTAATTTCTATTGTTTTTTATATAAAATTGTAAGTATGACTTTACGCACTTTTAAGTTTCCCATCTCTATTATACGCTACTCAAATGTCTACACCAGTTAGTTGCACGTGGCAGTGACCAACCTCGAAAGCCTAAGCTTCGTTGGTCTCTGAGACTGTGACATTTCACCTTTGATGATTTATGTAATTTCATGTTGTTTTATTTTACTTTTGTAATGTATTGTATTTTTGTTATAGTAAACTCTTGAAATAGTGCAATAAATAAAAAATCTGAATCTGAAATCTGATCTGGATCATGAGCAGTCACCCATGAGCAGTAATCAGATCACAGCACATTAAAGGAACTGATGAAACCTTGCCCAGGGTGAATTCAATGATTACTTTGGTGTACTATGATCCAAGAGATCTCTGATCACTGATCCTGACCTGAGTCATCCCAAAGGAAAATATTTATTTTTCTGTCTTTATCTACATGTAACTAACTCTATTTAGGAGTTACTGTGAAGTTTATAAGGGTTTTATTAGAAGCTAAGTCCCAGGTACTGGCACTTTGTCAATGTTCTCTGAGCACAGTACTTGCCTTTAAGCAAAATGGACAAGTCGACTCTCAAACCCCTTTTCCAACTTTCCTCGCCTAATCAACCTTAGGCACCCTTCTACTTTAAAAAATAGTGAAAAGCCTGAACTCGACAGTTACAAGAACTGTTAAAACTCTGGACCTTTAGTATACAAATTTAAAGGCTCTCAGCACAGTTTGAGAAAAAAAAAAAATATTCCGTTCGAATTGTCAAAGTTCATCAGTGATTCAAATGAAATATTCGATTTTTTCCTCAAACTTTGCTCTAAGTCATGAAATTTGATACCAAATGTCTTTGTCAGAGCAGATGAAAAACCTTTTTGGTTTCCATATTGAACTAGAATTATGCTGGTTTTTGAGAAGAGGGGAAACCTGTATCACCCAGAGAAGAAGGTGACTAGCGACAAACTCCAACCACATATGGCATAAGGGATCACAGGAAATGAAGACACAAAGAGAGAAAGCTGAGTGCTCCCACCACTGCATTATCCCATTTGAGTCTTTCTTGGAATCATAAAAGGTCAACTATAAAGGTAAAGGTTGTTGTACCTATGTGTCGTTGTGCTAATGCCCCATTTGCTGACGGGGGCAAGTCATTTTGCTTGAGAAATGAAATGAGGGCTACAGATGTTTGTAGGTCGCTCCTTCAGCCATGACAAAACAAAGTTCAATACACGTCATAGTTGGGGAATCACCTAACATGTTAATGAACATTGTATTTCAAGATGTGAGGGAACAGGGTGCTGGTAGCCCGTGTAGCTGGCGGAATTGTTTGTCCTCTCCACTAAGATTTTGGCAATGAACCTGTCATTCCAAGAAGTGATCACTGAATGAGCAAGGAATTCTTTCAAAGTGTCTTGTCCCCATTCTCTGCATGGATTCACAACTCCTCGGCCCCAACATGGGCCGATGTGATGATCCTGCCAGCTACGCAGGCTTGGGCACTAGCAAAATGACGCGTGTAGGCGAAACAACCATGAATCAATAGAAAATTGGCATTATCAGTACATGTACATGCAGTAGTTAAGTGTAACTGCTGTAAAATAAGAAGTATTGTAACCTGATTCAAGTCACTTTTAAAAGTAGCTTATCATAATTTATATGGGAAATCAAAGGTGTAAACAAAACCATAGAGACCTAAACTACACTTATCCCCTCAATGTCTGACAGCCTACTTTAGCAGATTAGTCACCATATTGTCATGCTGTGACTGCTTATGACTCAACAGAAACAATCATAACAAACTACTGAAGGTCCAAAGCTCACCCGAGTATCCGCCTTTCTGAATACTTTTTTCTTCGCGAGTTCGAAGCACTGAGGGGATTCGGAATGAAAGATCCTAATAAAGTTCTCTTTGGTATCACGCATATGCTTTGATTGTTAGTTTCCAGAGTGCTTTGGTTCTTTTTCTTCGAAACAGCGTCGAAGCCGGGTGAAAGCCGACAGCAACATAATCCTAAGCACCTGGGGAAAAATTTTTTGTAATCATTTATAGCGTGTAAACAAAACGAAAAAAATCAAAATCAAAATAGATATTAGTCTCATAATTTACAGAAAACATTCAAATACCTTTTAGCTTGCCAGATTGCAAAAGACTGTCGTAAAAGCGGTAAAGTTTTCGCTTGTACTCTCACGGTGGCCATTTTGAACAAATAATTGACCGATCGATAATATTTCGTCATATTTTGAGTTAATTACATCTGGCCAGGCTACCAAGCCAAAACATGGCGGACAGAGAAGCACTTTTTTGAAGCACGGTAATGGCAGAGAACAACAATCTTTTAGTAGCAAGAGCTCTTGGTAAGAGATAAAAATAGATTTTATAGCATCTAATAACAATGAATTTGAATTTTAAGATTGGCATGTTTAGAAGACTTTTTAATGGTGGATTGAATTGGCACATTCAGTTCTCTTTGAACCGAGAACAAATAATAATTATTTCTTTCCAAAAAATACGTGTATTATTATTCTGTTTCTTCGGGCATTGAACTTAAATATCTATTACAAATTCTACTGATTTTGTTCAAAATACACACTTTTGATGATTTTTAGCCTATAAGACCTCAGAATGCAAGGCCAATTACACACATTCTTCAAACAAGCTGACTCGTTTGGCTCGTTTGCCCTGTCATATCATACAAGCAAGTCCTCCGCTGCCGAACTGGACAGCTATCACACACATTCTCTCCTCGTTATTTGTATTCACTGACCTGAGCCCAATGAGTCACCACTCAAGTTTATACCCACCATTCAAACGCTCATCATTCAAACAATTCATCCCTTGTTCTTGTCACTCGCCGAGAAGCCACCAAATCTAAGCGCCCAGAATGGCCCCATATCGTGTGTACATGTAGTTACTCTCTTTTTAACATTTCTTTCTAGCTTCCTCAGTGAAAACACTCTTAGGACCAAATAACAGGTAAATACTTCATTAATTCTTACTTAAGGTATTAATTGTGTGACTACATAGCTACTCAAAGCTTAACCTCTTCCATGTGCTCAGTTATTGGGAACAGCTCAAAGAACACAGAGCAGAAAAAATGGGAAACTACTCGTTGGGAAGAAAAATAAAACATTCTCCCATGCCAGTCAAAATGTTTTACAATAGTAGGCAGGATAACCACAGAAGCAGGCAGCAGACCTAAATTTGTGTGGTTGTTATTTAATATTACTAAACTGGAGTGTTGATTAGACGGCAAATCAAGACTGTGCTTTAAGGAAAATTGAAGGGAGTCCAGTGCTCTGAAACTGTAAAATCTAGGGTGCCTAGCCTATGATTTGTATGAAAAAACTAAGATTTCCTAGAGAGCAAAAGTTAGGTGCCAGGGGCCACCGGGCTCTGCTAGAGCACAGCCCTGCAAATGTTCCAGTGTTCCAGTGGCTGATGGCTCATTTTGACTGGGCTGCTCTCCTAGATCTCTTTCTCTTTCTTTCCTCCCTTTGCTACTCATTTTGTGCCCATCTCCACTATCAGAATACCTGGTAGATACCTAAAGCATGTTGGACAATAGTGCGTGACATGATATTGCCCTGAGGAGACTCAAAATGATGATGATGATGATGATGATGATGATGATGATGAAGCTATAAACTGATCAAAAAAGGAGGTGCTCAGTTAATTAGAGCCAAGTGGTCAGAGTGCTGGCAAACTGGAGGTCCAAAGTTTAATATCCTTCTAGACTGATACTGGCCGATGGTTTGTGTCCTGCCAGTTGGGATTCTTAAACTTGGTGTGTTTCATTTGAAATATTTGTCTCAGTTATGTGCTCCTAGTGGCTCCTATGCTGCTTCCTCTTTTCTGTTTATCTGTCTTGTGTTTCTGTCTTTAATCTGCCATTTGTTTTTTTTAAATTTGCTGATGAAATCAATCAGTAATCATAAAGATTAGAGAAAAATGAATTCTCAAGTGTGAGCCTTGAGTCAGAATCCTAGTGCCTCTTTTTTGTGGGATTTTAAGATGCACAACAACTGATCAGTAATTAAATTTTCAGACCCTGTGCCCCCATGGTCTGCCCATCCTAAATCAGGAGCAATTCCTTTTCTTTCCAGTTCTAAATACTGTACTGACAGTGATGGCAATACTGTTATCTGTAGCAGTGCATCCAAGCTTTTGCAGCTTATTGATGTCCAGGTTGGAAGTTTATCTGTTTTTTAATATTAGATTAATACCTTCAGACATGCCTTCATTTCAAAACTTTTTCAAATTTCTGGTACATGATGTATATACTGTCTCTATGGGAGGAGTATAATACAAGTAAATACCAACATTATTCAGTGAACTCTCTCAAGCAAACATATAACTGAGTATGTAAAGCATTACATAGCTTTCATTTTTTAAAGTGAATTCTACAAGTGAGAGTGGTATATTTTCTAGGTTTTACCCTTTTTTTTCCCAGTTTTTGAAGAAAGTTTGACTCCTCCACAAATGTTGGAGCCATTTTACAAAAACTAAGGTCACTTTATACCACCCAAATTAAGTGTGTACCTGTTACCCCTTAGAGATATAATCAGGGGCAAAGAAAGTCAGTTTTACAGCTTGCCATTTGGGCAAGCTGTAGCTAGTGGGTACTAGCCCACAAGTCATTTCAACCAGCCCCAAAGCCTTTTTTGATTAGCAGGATTGATTACAAACCTTCTGTAATTTGAATTTCCCCCCAAAACACCACTTGCCTGCCGGGCAAGTTAAGAACAAAAATCACAAGCCCGATAGCAAAATCCACTAACCCCGGGCTATCAGACACAACTTTCTTTGCACGCTGTATAATACTAACCAGAGATCAGAAGCTAACACCAAAATGGTGACAAAATTCAAACACACACACACACATTTTGAAAAAAGTTCAACAATGGAGAAACTTCATTTCATATTTGAAAATTTTCTTACAAGACTGCCAATACTTTTGATTTTTTATCTCTTCACTAGATTTTTAACCTAATATATTATAAGAATTTTGGCGGGCAGGGAAAACATTTTTCTTGACCAGTGAACATTTCTTAGCTCTAAGCTGGAGTCATAATGCCCTCTTGCAGAAATTCCTTGGAGTCATGGGTGGATTTTTTGGCATAAAAATGCCAAAATTGTAAACCCTGCCTTTCTAAGGCAGAGAGTAATGAAGTTGTCTTTTTTTAAAGTGTTCTCTTTAGTTCAGGAGGCTGTTTATAATATCAATTTGGTTATCATCTTGGTTTTAGCATCCAGCTGGGTTTGTTATCAATGATGCTTGCCAGGGTCAGTATAAGAAGTATGGAAGAAACTGTAAGACTCTTGTCTGTATGGCTGGCTTCTGGAGTAAGGCTGCACAAGACTTGCAAGATCAGGTGACGGACTGAAAATAAACAATGGCAAAATAACTATCTGTTTTAGTGTTTTAAATGTACAGTTAGGCATTTACTGTATCGGTGTTAATGTGGAAGGGAAATAAAGCAGTTCTAAGGAGTAAAGGAAAAAACAAATCAAAACATAAAAACCCCAAAGAAACAAAAGGATAACAATGTATTTTTAACATAACAGGAAGAGGAGCTTTAAGAGGAAATGTGTTTTAAACTTAAGACAAACATTAGTTACTGAAATAAGGTTTTGATAAAGGCTCTACTCTCCCGTCCTCATTCTATTATTGTTTAAAACCAAGAAAGTAACTGAGAAGGAAGGAATAAAAGAAAAGGAAATTGGGACTGGGAAGTTAAACCCATGCACCATTTCCACTGTGGTTTGTAGGGTGCAATCATCAAAGCCTTATTTTTCTGTTGATGTTGCGGTTATTGTATTTTTGAATATTGATTTTATTGCAACTTTGTATGTAAATTGATTCTGTAATAATATATATTTTTTGCCGCAGCAGGGTGCTAGCATGTGCTAGCCCACAAGTCATTTCAACTAGCCCCCAAACCCTTTTTGATTAGCAGGATTGATTACAATCCTTCTGTAGTTTGAATTTCCCCAAAAAACAGCACTTGCCCGTCGGGTAAGTTACAAATGAAAATCACTGTCTGACATGATAGTCAATTGCATATTGATCGTAATGTTTCAACTGTGTACTGCATGTCTTCATCAGGCAATAGTGTTGACTTACTGAGTGGAACTATTTGCACCACTGTGGTTGTTAGTGACTGGTATATCATAAACCTCATTCAAGGTTGGTTTACTTCAATTTGAAGCAGTGTTGGTATTATTAGAAGAGGAAACTGTTCCCTGTGCGGTTCTAAGTGACTATCACAAGACAGAAGATAATAATGAAACCCTTCACTAGTCTCATAAATTATATTACCACTCTGGAATGAGTGCAAACACTTACTATTAGAGTAAATATAGAAAGTGTATCATTTTAATGTAGTTAATATAAGTGACAATAAATTGCCTGAAGACAGTGACCATACCTGCTGGTGCTGTTCTAGCTTTAACTGTATTATGAAGATGTCCAGGACCATATAGATAGTAACACCGTTTTTCAAATGCTTTCACCATTTTTTTCACAACTTCATCAAAAAACACAGTGGAAAGCTTAGAATGGAGGATTGATCGAAACTCAAACTCTATCTGTAGAGGAATGAACCAGACATTTCATTAGACAGGATTCCACCCATACAAAGCTGTGTATTCACATCAAAATGAATATGTCAAATAACATAGCAAACTTTCTTGAGGATGCATGCTTGTACCCCAGTACCTGTGTCACAACAAGTGGTTTACAGACAAGACTTCCAATAAACAGAACTAGATTAGGGCTGAGGACCAACTAAAATAATATCAAAGTTTTATAAACAGAGCGAAAAGTGTTAAAACCTGTATTATTCAAATTCAATCACGATCAGTTCATAATTGTAAAGGGCAAGACATAAGAACAATACCTTTCATTGATTTCGTGATTTTCATGCTTTGATCCTAGTTACTAGCATAGTAACAATGTTTACCTGATTTTCTATTGGTTTTGTAATGAGATATTTCGGCGTCCCCATGCGGGTATAAAAGCGCGCGTTAACGTCCTTTTGGTCAGGAAAAGTCAAGTAGGATTCGCATTGTGACATCGTTTTTGTGATTTTGTCTTAACCTTTGGTACAAGCGGGACCGATATGTAAGTGATTTCTTTTGTTATATTGTTTAGTTTCGTTCTTTAGCCAGTGGGCAAAAGTACACAAATGTTACTGTACAAGTATACAGATTTAAGTTTAATTGATTTATAATTGTTTCATGAGCGAAAAGCGGATTTGAACGCCTGTTAGAGCAACGCCCACACTTTTGCTTTATAGTGCAAGGATTAAGATCAGATTTATGGAATTATTGTCTAATTTCAGTTATGTAGCCTTTAATTAGATTTTACCGTCTTGTTATCGACCTAATCGTTATAGAATCGCTTTATTACCGTTTTCAAGCTTTAGTTTGTTGATTACGCGTTATTTGTCTTAGTATCGCCCTTTTGCCAAATTGATAGAGATTTTTGTATTGTTATTTCAGTTTATGGTCAATCTTTGGTCTATAGATTTTGGGCTTTGGAATTTGGAATTAAATCACCGTTAACCGTCACCTTTGGTTTTCCGTGGTTTTCTTGTTTTTCCGACCCGTAAAATAGTCCCTAATCTAACCAGGTGCGACTCACCCCTGGAAGTTTCGTTTCTCGTTTGTTTATTTGGGTCGTCACCAGCCACAATCATGATGGCCCATTTGTAATTAAAACAGTCTTGCTGCAGAAAGATATTGTCTGAGGGATTTCATTTTGGTATTGTGCTTACTATTTCTTACTTAGAGAGTCAGTTGTGTCATTTAACATAGCATATTGTACGTTTTAAGTCATGCGGAACCTAATTGATGGTTCTTTTGCATGGTATTTGTAAACTTTTTTAAAACAAAAAATAAGGGGAAATGTTGTATCATCAAAAGTACAAAAAAAAAATCAATTGAGCATTTACTTACATAAAAGTCCAATGTACAAGTGTTTGGGTTTCCTGGATAGCCGGGACTAAACTTCCAAATTGTCTTCATATAATTAAACATTTCTCCATCAGTGCACTCAGCCTACAGTGTAATCAAGAGCAACAATATTTGCTGAGCAAGTAACATCTCCAAGAAAGAAGCCGTGATAATAATAATTAATATCATGATTATTATTTAATTATTATTATTTGTTGTGATAATAATAATTATTATCACAACAAATGGCATCAACCATTGGCTATTAAATTTTTAATTTTATTGAAGTGACCAATGTTTGTTTCCTATATTGATAAAAGCAGTCTCTCTTTTTTCTTAGTTCATCCAGCAAAATGCACAAGACATGCAAATGAACATGCACACGACTGAAGGTGTGAGACGGCTGGGAGAGGCATGAAGAAGAGCTTATTTCTTCGTGGGCTGCTTCCCTCGTTTCTCGTGTGGCCGTGCACTCCCATTACTAAATCTGAAGAAAAAAAAGGACTGCTCGCAGTCTACTATAATGAACACATTCATTCTCCCTTGACAGGAATATTATTAAAAAAAGCCTAGGCCACTTTTTTCAAAGGGTAATTAGCATCCAGTGTGTTCTATGAGCACTCTTCTGGACTGTTACTACAGTTAACCCAACATCAAAAGTTAACCAGTTTTAGTAAAACTCAGCTCTGTTTTGTCTGTTAAAGCTGACTGATACCTTCACTAAGTTTGGTGGAACAAGCGTAACAGATGAGCTGTATTTTTCCACCACAGGTGGGAAACCAACTGCTAACTTTGCTTTTAGATGACCTGGCTTTCTGATCAAAATAACTGAGTCCCTGCACCATGGAACAAAGTGCTTATAATCTTCAACATCAGAAACAACTGCATACATGTCCTCCATTGAATAACTGAAAATTACAATATAAAATACATCGGAAAAATGAAAAGCTGGGGTATAAACTGATCTTAGGGTTGAAATGATTTCAAACTAGCTTAGGGTACCTTAATTTTCATCAGCCATTAAAGGAAAAAAAAATCATGGAGCTGCGACTTTTGCTTTTGCTGGTTCTAAAATCTGGGGAAAAATTTCCTCTAAATTAAAAAAACTCCCTTATAATAGCTTCTACAAGCAATACAAACTGTACCTTTTAACTACCCAATGAGTAATTTGATTTCTCTGCCCTCACTATCAATTCTAATTTCCATTGTTTTTTAATAAAGTTGTAAGTATAACTTTATGCACTTTTAATTTTCCCATCTCTATTATGTGTTAAATGACTACACCAGTGAGTTGGACGTGGCAGCGACCAATCTCGAAAGCCTAAGCTCCTTTGGTCACAGCGCACATTTCACCTTTGATGATTTATGGAAATTTTCAAGTTGTTTTATTTTACTTTTGTAATGTATTATATTTTTGTGGTAGTAAACTCTTGAAATAGTGCAATAAATAAAAAATCTGAATCCGATCTGGATCATGATCAGTAATCCACGAGCAGCACTCAGATTACAGCACATTGTCGAAAAAAAAGTTCATCAGTAATTCGAATGAAATACTCGATTTTTTCTTCAAACTTTGCTCTAAGTCATGAAATTTAATACCAAATGTCTTTGCCAGAGCAGATGAAAACCCTTTTTGGTTTCCAGATTGAATTAGAATTATACTGGTTCTTGAGAAGAGGGAAAAACTGTATCACCCAGAGAAAAACCTCTTGGAGCAGAGCAGATGACCAACAAAAAAATCAAACCACATATGGCATGAGGGATGGGAAATGAAGGCACAAAGAGAGAAAGCTGAGTGCTCCCAACAGTGCCCTATCCCATTTGAGTCTTTCTTGGAATCATGAAAGGTAAACTAAGGTAACTGGTTGTTGTACCTATGTGTCGTTGTGCTAATGCCCCATTTGCTAATAGGGCGAGTCATTTCTCTTAAGAAATGAAATGAGGGCTACAAAATAATGTTTGTAGGTCGTTCCTTCAGCCATGACAAAAAGAAGTCTAATACACGTCATAGTCAGGGAAGGACCTAACATCTTAACGAACATTCAAGACGTTAGGGAACAGGGTGCTGGTAGCCTGTGTAGCTGGCGGAATTGTTCGTCCAGTAAGATTTTGGTGATGAACCTGTTATTCCAAGAAGTGATCACCAAATGAGCAAGAAATTCCTTCAAAGTGTCTCTTCCCCATTCTTTGCACAGATTCACAACTCCTCTGCTCCAACATGGGCCAATGTGATGATCCTGCCAGGTACGCAGGCTTGGGCACCAGTGAAATGACTTGTAGGTGAAACAACCATGAATCATTACAAAATTGCATTATCAGTACATGCAGTAGTTAAGTGTAACTGCTGTAAAATAGGAAGTATTGTAACCTGATGTAAGTCATTTTTAAAAGTAGCTTATCATATGGGAAATCAAAGATGTAAACAAAACAATAGGGTCATACACTTATATCCTCTCAATGTCTGACAGCCTACATTAGCAGATTAGTCACCATATTGTAATGCCGTGACTGCTTATGACTCAACAGAAACAATCACAACAAACTACTGAAGGTCCAAAGCTCACCCGAGTGTCCGCCTTTCTGAATACTTTTTTCTTCGCGAGTTCGAAGCACTGAGGGGATTCGGAATGAAAGATCCTAATAAAGTTCTCTTTGGTATCACGCATATGCTTTGACTTTTAGATTCCAGAGTGCTTTGGTTCTTTTTCTTTGAAACAGCGTCGAAGCCGGGTGAAAGCCGACAGCAACATAATCCTAAGCACCTGGGGAAAAAGTTTTTGGAATCATTTATAGCGTGTAAACAAAACAAAAAAAATCAAAATCAAAATAGATATTAGTCTCATAATTTACAGAAAACATTCAAATACCTTTTAGCTTGCCAGATTGCAAAAGACTGTCGTAAAAGCGGTAACGTTTTCGCTTGTACTCTCACGGTGGCCATTTTGAACAAATAATTGACCGATCGATAATATTTCGTCATTTGAGTTAATTACATCTGGCCAGGCTACCAAGCCAAAACATGGCGGACAGAGAAACACTTTTTTGAAGTACTGCAATGGCACAGAACAACAATCTTTTAGTAGCAAGAGCTCTTGGTAAGAGAAAAAATTCGATTTCATAGCATCTAACAATAATGGATTTGAATTTTAAGACTGGCCTGTCTAGAAGACTTTTTAATGGTGGATTGAATTGGCAGATTCAGTTCTCTTTGAACCGAGAACAAATAATAATTATTTATTTCCAAAAAGTACGTGTATTATTATAATTCTTGTTTTTCTTCAGGCATTGGACTTAAATATCTATTATAAGTTCTACTGATTTTGTTCAAAATACACACTTTCGATGATTTTTAGCCTATAAAACCTCAGAATGCAAGGCCAATTACACACATTCTTCAAACAAGCTGGCTCGTTTGGCTTGTTTGCCCTGTCATATCATACAAGCAAGTCCTCCGCTGCCGAACTGGACAAGCTATCACATACATTCTCTCCTCGTTATTTGTATTCACTGACCTGAGCCCAATGAGTCACCACTCAAGTTTATATCCACCAACGCTCATCATTCAAACAATTCATCCCTTGTTCTTGTCACTCGCCGAGAAGCCACCAAATCTAAGCGCCCAGAATGGCCCCATATCGTGTGTAGTTACTCTCTTTTTAACATTTCTTTCTAGCTTCCTCAGTGAAAACACTCTTAGGACCAAATAACAGGTAAATACTTCATTAATTCTTACTGAAAGGTATTAATAATTATTGTGTGACTACATAGCTAGTCAAAGCTTAACCTCTTCCATGTGCTCAGTTATTGGGAAACTACTCGTTGGGAAGAAAAATAAAACATTCTCCAACGCCAGTCAAAATGTTTTACAGTAGTAGGCAGGATAACCACAGAAGCAGGCAGCAAACCTACATTTGTGTGGTTGTTATTTAATATTACTAAACTGGGGTGTTGATTAGACGGCAATGAAATATTCCAGTGAAAACATCAAAATTACCAGCTGATGGCTCATTTTGACTGGGCTGCTCTCCTAGATCTCTTTCTCTTTCTTTCCTCCCTGTGCTACTCATTTTGTGCCCGTCTCCACTATCAGAATACCTTATAGATACCTGAAACCTGTTGGACAATAGTGTGTGACATGATATTGCCCGAGGAGACTCAAAATGTTGATGATGATGATGATGATGAAGCTATAAACTGATTAAAAAAGGAGGTGCTCAGGTAATTAGAGCCAAGTGGTCAGAGTGCTGGCAATCTGGAGGTCCAAAGTTTAATATCCATCCAGACCGATACTGGCCAATGGTTTGTGTCCTGCCAGTTGGGATTCTTAAACTTGGTGTGTTTCATTTGAAATATTTGTCTCAGTTATGTGCTCCTAGTGGCTTCTATGCTGCTTCCTCTTTTCTGTTTATCTGTCTTGTGTTTCTGTCTTTAATCTGCCATTTTTTTTTAAATTTGCTGATGAAATAAATCAGTGATCATGAAGATTAGAAAAAAATGAATTCTAAAGTGTGAGCCTTGAGTCAGAATCCTAGTGCCTCTTTTTTGTGGGATTTTAAGATGCACAACAACTGATCAGTGATTAAATTTTCAAACCTGTGTCCCCATGGTCTGCCTGTCCTAAATCAGAGGCAATTCCTTTTCTTTCCAGTTCTAAATGTTGTACTGATGGTGATGACAATGCTGTTATTTGCAGCAGCGCATCCAAGCTTTTGCAGCTTTTTGACATCCAGGTTGGAACTTCAATATCTGTTTTTTTTAATATTAGATTAATACCTTCAGACATGCCTTCATTTCAAAACTTTTTCAAATTTCTGCTGCATGATGTATATACTGTCTTTATGGGAGGAGTATAATACAAGTAAATACCAACATTATTCAATGAACTCTCTCAAGCAAACATATAACTGAGTATGTAAAGCATTAGAGAGTGAATTTCTTTCAATTCTCTACAAGTCAATTCTACACGTGAGACTGGTATATTTTCTAGGTTTTACCCTTTTTTCCTTTTTGAACAAAGTTTGACTCCTCTACAAATGTTGGAGTCATTTTACAAAAACTAAGGTCACTTCAGACCACCCAACTTACGTTTGTAACTCTTACCCCTTAGAGATATAAATGCTAACCAGAGATCAGGAGCTAACACCAAAATGGTGACAATAGAACACAAACACACACACATACATACACATTGAAAAAAAGTTCAACAGTGGAGAAACTTCATTTCACATTTAGAAATTTTCTTACAAGACTGCTATTATTTTTTATTTTTTACCCCTTCACTAGATTTTTAACCTAATATTAAGAATTTGGCAGGCAGGAAAAACATTTTTCTTGACCACTGAACATTTCTTAGCTCTATGCGGTAGTCATAATGACCTCTTGCAGAAATTCCTTGGAGTCACTAGTAGATTTTTTGGCATAAAAAAATAAATAAACCCTGCCTTTCTAAGGCAGAGAGTAATGAAGTTATCTTTTTTTTAAGTGTTCTCCTTAGTTCAGGAGGCTGTTTATAATATCAATTTTGTTATCATCTTGTTTTTAGCATCCAGCTGGGTTTGTTATCAATGATGCTTGCCAGGGTCAGTATAAGAAGTATGGAACAAACTGTAAGACTCTTGTCTGTATGGCTGGCTTCTGGAGTAAGGCTGCACAAGACTTGCAAGATCAGGTGAGGGACTGAAAATAAATAATGGCAGGGTAACTATCTGTTTAAGTGTTTTAAATGTACAGTTAGGCATTTACTGTATCGGTGTTAATGTGGAAGGGAAAATAAAGCAGTTCTAAGGAGTAAAGGAAAAAACAAATCAAAACATAAAAACCCCAAAGAAACAAAAGGATAGCAATGTATTTTTAACATAACAGGAAGAGGAGCTTTAAGAGCAAATGTGTTTTAAACTAAAGACAAACATTAGTTACTGAAATAAGGTTTTGATAAAGGCTCTACTCTCCCATCCTCATCCTATTATTGTTTAAAACCAAGAAAGTAACTGAGAAGGAAGGAATAAAAGAAAAGGAAATTGGGACTGGGAAGTTAAACCCATGCACCATTTCCACTGTGGTTTGTAGGGTGCAATCATC